ATGTAATAGGAGAGTCATACAAGTAGATGGTAAATGCTTACCAGTTTCTGGCACTTGTAAACTTGAAATAACTCATCCAAATTCTGATAAATATATTATTAAATTCATTGTGATTAAAGGACAAATTCCCACATTGTTGGGTTGTAAATCATGTTTAAAATATAATTTTGTATCTGCCAATACTAATCTTGTAAATATTTTTGATTTAAGGTGTAAAAATAATAATTATGATGTTCAGTCTCTAACTAATAAGTTGAAATCTGATTTCAGTGAATTATTTGATGGTGGCCTTGGCTGCATCCCTGAGTCTGTAAATATTCATCTTACTAATGACGCTGTGCCAAATGTAGCAGCTGCGAGACGTATTCCATTTTCATTACTGCCTGAGCTTCGAGAGGAATTGTCAAGAATGGAAAAATTAGGAGTCATTGAAAAAGTAAATAAACCTACAAAATGGGTAAATAATTTTGTATCAGTTAGGAAACCAAATGGAAAGTTACGGATTTGTATAGATCCACGAGCACTTAATAAATACATTATTCAGCCTAAATATCAATTACCAACTATAGATGAGATTAAAAGTAAAATACATAATGCTAAAGTGTTTGCCTTATTAGATGCATCAAATGGGTTTTGGATGCTAAATTTAAATGAAGAGAGCTCTGAGCTATGTACATTCATAACGCCATATGGTAGGTATAAATTTAAACGCCTCCCTTTTGGTATTTGTTCAGCACCTGAAGAATTTAGTAGAATCATCACACAAATGTTTGAAAATGTTGAAGGAGTAATCCCATATATTGATGATTTATGTATTTATGCTCAATCAATTAGTGAATTAAATGAAAGAATAAGGAAAGTTTTAGAAATTGCATCAAAAAATGGAATTAAATTTAATGTAGAAAAATGTAAATTTTTTGAATCTGAACTTCTATTTATGGGACACAAATTTACCAGCAAGGGTATGTTACCAGATCCTAGCAAAGTACAGGCAGTTATGGAAATGGAAAGTCCAAAATCTAGAAAAGATCTGGAGAGATTTTTAGGGATGTGCAACTATCTATCGCGCTTTATACCCAATTTTTCAAAAATAACAGAACCTTTAAGAGTTCTGATGAAAAAAGACACAGAATTTATATGGGATAGCTGCCAAGAACAAACAGTAAAAATATTAAAAAAGGCAATATGTAGTAGTCCTTGTTTATCTTTCTTTGAAACTAATGAAGACATTATATTATCTGTGGATAGTTCATCGAGTGCGTTGGGAGCTGTAATTTTACAAAAAGGTAAACCAGTAGCATTTGGTTCTCGTTCATTGAATAGTTCGGAACAAAACTATTGTCAATTAGAAAAAGAAATGTTAGCTATAGTTTTTGGCTGTTTCAAAATGCATCAATATACTTATGGCCGCAAAGTCTATGTTGAGACAGATCACAAACCATTGGAGACTTTATTTAAAAAACCCCTTTACAAAGTACCAGCCCGCCTACAACGAATGATGTTGGCTGTACAAGGCTATAATTTAGATGTGAAATACAAACCAGGTAGATTATTGTTCATTGCAGATACGCTTTCCCGCAGCTGTTCTAATAAAATAGAGCCTAAAATGGAGGATCTAAATAATAGTGTTGTATATCATGTGAAATTGGTACGAGACAGCTTACCAATATCTAATTTAAAGTTAAAAGAAATACAAGAAGCTACCGAAATGGATCCAATCTTAAGAAAAGTCATTAATTACATAAAAGAGGGCTGGCCAAAAAACATTAATTTAGTTGATAAAGATGCGAGGTGTTACTGGACTTTCAGGGATGAATTAAGTGTGCTGAGTGATATCATTTTGAAAAGCAATTTAGTTCTAGTTCCGAATCGTTTAAGGGTAGCTATGTTACATATGATTCACCAAGGGCATGTAGGTGTAAGTACTTGCAAAACACGGGCTCGCACATGTGTTTTTTGGCCAGAAATAAATAAAGATATTGAATTATTTGTAAAAAATTGTCATCCTTGTGCCAAATATGATTGTAATTTGTCAAAAGAGCCATTGATCACACACCCTATTGTAAGACTTCCATGGCATAAAGTTGGTATTGACATTTGTACGTTAGAAAATAAGGACTACTTAGTGTTTATGGATTATTTTTCAAAATTCATTGAAATTAGTAAGTTAGATAATTTATCAAGTGAGTGTGTAATAATAAATTGTAAATCAGTTTTCGCAAGACATGGCATACCAGTTAATATTGTTACAGATTGTGGAACGCAATTCACATCTGTAAGTTTTAAAAGATTCATAGAAAGCTATAAAATTAATCACATCAAATCAAGTCCCAAACACTCCCAATCAAATGGGCAGAGTGAAAGTGGTGTTAAAATATTTAAAAATATAATGAAGAAATGTAAAGAGGATAATTCTGATCCATATTTAGGCCTTTTAAATTATAGAAATACAGCAAAATCTTATATGCCATCCCCTGCGCAACTACTTTTCTCTAGAAATCTTAATACTTTGTTACCTATTTCTAAGAACTTCTTAAAACCAAAATTATATATATGTGATAAGAGATATGAGGATCACCAAAAAATTGTTAAAAACTATTATGATAAAAATTTAAAGCCTCACTCAGAGTTAACAGCTGGACAAAATGTATATTTTAAAAAGACCTTGGATTCAAATTGGTTAAAAGGACAAATTGTTAGTAAATGCAAGGAACCAAGGTCTTATGTGGTTAGGGATAATGAAGGAAGAATATACAGGAGAAATAGGAAATATGTGAAAGAAACACCAATGACAGATTCTAATAGCTTGATTGAAAAGAACATGGGTGCAAATAAAAAGCACTATAAATTTATTAATTTGCCAGAGGCACGTGGAGATTATTATTCTAATAAAAATACTATAGTGAGTGATGAAATAATTAATTCAAATAATAATGATTGTAGTAATGATGGATCAGTGAATAATAAAGAGTGTTTACCAGAGGTACAACCAAATAATCAACTTAATGAAAGTACTGTTGTGAGTAATGAGATAATTAATTCAAATAATAATGATTGTAGTAATATTGAATCAAGGAATAATACTGAGACAATCGTTAAAGTAAGTCGTTATGGCCGTAGTATTAAACGACCAAACAGGTTTCAAGATTTTGTTGAATATCCACATTTGGATTAAATTTTGTCTATCTACTTATAATTTGTCTAATTTTGTATTGATCATTTAATACATTGTAAGAAGGGGGATGTTGAGGTATATTGTCTATGACATACTCTGTGCTACAGTTTGCTCTAACTAATCGTAAGGACATCTAAGATGGCGGTCATATGTTTTGTAAGAAGTTTTATAATAAACCTTTGAACTACAAGTTACAAGTGATTTATTTAATATTGCCTAATGCAACAAGACAAAAACAGTTTTTGCAATATAAAAATAATATGAAAGAACATTTATTTTTCCCTCACTGAAAGTCATTCGCCTAAAGTTCATCTTTGTAATTTGAATAAATACATAATTGAAATCATTACAAAATGTGTTTTTTTTTAGCTTTTACGCGGCAAGTTTATTTTTTTTGTTATTACTAAAATAAATACAGATAGCTCTGGAGTATTATCCATCGAGCTCAAGATTCCAATAATACATATATAAAAAATTATTTATCTTACTTATCAGACAACAAGTGCCATCTGACAAATAAATTCGATTTCACGTTGACAGCCCGATCTAGCCCTTTTTTTCACGTTGACAGCCCAATCTAGCCCTTTTTAGTTTCTTCAACTGCCCCATTTCTAAAATTGAGGTGGCAACACTGTTTGTCGGCTTCACTTTTCTGTTAGGCAAAACTCCGTCTATACTTTTTATTTGGTCTGAGGCTTAAAAATTATAAAACCTTAATTCTTTATGAAGTAGTCATTATTCTTGTATAAATTTAGTTCCATAATATTATCGTAGATAGGACAATTTACAATTAACTTCAAACAATATTCGAAGTTTTTTGGTTTATAATATGATTGTTTTTTTCTATATTTAATTAATGTTATTTCAAAATTTCGAAGTCACTACAAAACTAAACGATATAAAAAATATTATTCTATTTTTTTTTAATTTAATTTGTTTAGAACAGTAACTGAATCCAGTATTGCTATTAATGTCGAGACTGCAGCCCCTGAAGTGTCTTCGCGCATTTTACGAAAATCTTTCTCTGCTATTATGGGTGTAATTAAAAAGTTAAACAATATTTCAAAAAGCGGACTCATTACAAACTAGAGCAAGAGCTCTTCTACGTTATTCAATAAGTCAAAATTATTAAAATATTTTTGTTACCGAGATCGAGACCACCAAAATTTACCATTTTATGCAAAAATCACCGTGGAAATGTTGATGATGAAAATGATTTATTTCCTAAATATTTTTTTAATAATTAATTAAATAAAACCAACAAGCTCTATGAACAATTTCGGTTGTCCTCAGAAATTGCCAGGTACAAAATAATGGCAAGTCATCATTTACCTTAAAGTTCTAACTGCTCTGATCTTGTATAATTTGCCTTTTTATTCTTATTTAATAAAGTTATATTAAATAAAGGACTAGATGGGTCAAGAGTTCATTTTTAATTTAAAGAGCAGAGAAGTCAGATTAACGGGACATTTATCCCTCTCGTATTGACGCACATCTGCTTTAGTTAGGGGCTTGTCGGCGCTTCCGTTAGATTTATAGTGTATACTACGTATCTTCGCGGATTGTTCCCATTTTTATCACTGATAAATTACTCCCAATAAGGTGGCACTCTTAGATTATGTATTAATATAAGGTGGTGCTGCCAGGCTGATGACGTCAGCCTAGCAGCGCCACCAGCGACGATAGCGTTGCTATACTTTGGAAACCTTGGACCCAGGCTGTGTTGCTAAAATAATAGAATTCGTCCATAGTTTGCTCACAGCCACAGCATATTTTCTTATGATCATGACCTTCAAGGATAAAATAAATTGCAAAATATTTTTTTACACAATTTATTTAGAAAAAGGTATGGTTTATAAAACAAGACTAAACAAAATCAAATACGATTTCGGTACATTTAACAATGGAATACAAGTTTACTGGCATTATGTCATCAATTTTTTAATTTGCTATCACCAATTACACATTACATGAAATAACATCATAGTCTGTCTAACTCAAAATGAAAAACACATAATTTATGGATGTAAAATCTAACGGAATGAAAGTGAAACCATCATGGAGACAAATCTAGTTTTCCACTGAGATCAGATCTAAAGACACAGTCTGTGTAATAAATACATTAAAAAATAATTATGCCAACACAACATCAAATGCAATATATCTGATATCTTTGGAAAACATTGACATCTTGTTTGATTTTTACCAGTGTTAGTAGAGCATGTAGGATTAAATAATAACAGTCTATGTTCACAAGTCTTCATCTTCTTCAGGTAAGGCTGTGTCTTGTGCTTCCTTGAGATCCTTTTCGATTTGGTTTTGCCATTGCGGGTCCATAGTTACTTCTGGTGGCACTAATGCAGGCATGGCAACAAATTCCAAGTTGCCATCACCAATCAACTTTCTCGCTAACCAGAGGAAGGGCTTCTCGAAATTGTAATTTGACTTGGCAGAGATATCGTAATACTGAAAATAAAAAAAAATATGAATAAAAGTAAAATAGCAAGCTTCACAAATGTCCATTAAAATCATCATTAATTTAAAGTGACTCACAGCCAGTTGTACAAACTTTCATTTGTTTAAGGGTTTAATACCAATAAAATTCTATCCTTCATTAGTTTTATGGTGTCAATAAACCTTAATGGATGTTTGTGCAACTGACCAATAACCAACCACTGAAACTGCTAAGTCAGTAGTAGTATGCTTACCTGAAGGTTCTTTTTTCTGTGGAAAACAATAGTTTTCGCTTTTACTTTTCTATCCTTGATATCAACTTTATTACCACATAGAACAATTGGAATGCCTTCACAAACTCGAACTAAATCTCTGTGCCAGTTGGGTACATTTTTATAGGTGACACGAGATGTTACGTCGAACATGATGATAGCACATTGACCTTGAATATAATAACCATCTCGAAGACCACCAAACTTCTCTTGGCCTGCAGTATCCCAAACGTTAAACCTTATCGGCCCTCGGTTTGTGTGAAACACTAAAGGATGCACTTCAACTCCTAATGTGGCGACATATCTTTTCTCGAACTCTCCAGTCAAGTGCCGCTTTACGAATGTTGTTTTGCCAGTGCCGCCGTCACCGACTAGCACGCATTTGAATGTGGGCATATCATCAGTCATTTTCTTTGTTTTATTTATGTACTACCACCTGAAATTAAAATTTTTTTATTAGTAAAAATAAAGTCTTAACCTACCGCTTTAAGATCTTAATTGTTTATTTGCCTGTTTCTTCAAAGAATATATTGAAACTGTTATTGTATACTGTTTCCAGTTTATAAAGCACACATTCAAAACGCCAAGTTCAATTTCGTTTCAAGTTATTCACAGAATGGCGCTCAGACAGCCTCATAGGAATTTAGCTCAGTGGTACCGAAGTCTGAAGTATTTTATAGATAAACTACAATACCATTAATAAAAATATTACACTAGAAATAAAGGATGACATATATAGAACTAAAATACTTAAAGTTTAAAAACAAATTACCACGATTGTATAAGTAAACTGAGATTAAACTCTATGCACGGAAAAGTCGTTACGGCTCACAATGGCGTCACTTGACTAAACGGAAGAATTTTTGACAGCGACAAGCGCAGTGAGTAGTTGATAGTCAATAAAAAAACTTTTTGGAATGGTAAACTTAAACAAGAAAGAAATATAATTAAACTAAATGTAATAGGGAAGATTGAAATTTGATGATATATATATTTTATGAAGAAAATGTTACGAAACTATTATATTTATATTTAAAAGTACTATATTTATTAGCTTCCTTGTTGACTGTTTTACCGACTATATTCTGACGTCATTTATGTTGACGACAATGGCGCCATCTACAACTTTATGTAATACAGACGTGACATGAGACAGCAAGCAAAGTTTCGTCTGTTCGTTTCGTGTGTATCGATTTTTTGAGTGAAGTGAACGTAGTGTTCATGTCCTTAGTTTAGTGACGTTTGGTAGAGAAATATCTGTGAATGGGATTGTGTAATAAGATAAAACGTTTATTTGGTGTGTGATTTTCTGTAAAGGATGACGAAGGACAGGTTAGCGGCGCTCGTGGCGGTAAGTTAATTTTCTTTTGCCTCTTCAACGTTACCATAACCAAAGGTCTCACTGATGACCTCGAATTGATAGAATAGCATTGAGATGTTCTATTTGCAGTCAACTTTATATATTTCCTGATTATTTTATCAGAGCCTGTACCTTATGATTCAAAAAATCTCATGAAATCTTTAATTTTGACGCCCCACCCCTGACCTGAGCACTTGAATGATAGCTGTCATTAGAGCGCGACAATTTGTTGCGTTCCATCCTGTAGTCTCATCCGTAGTTTTACGAAACAATTGGTTTTATCAAACTTTGCTATTGTTTTTCGTTAAGTTCTTTCTGAAGAAACATGTCACAGTCTGATAACCTTAAAGAAAGCTGCTTGTTCAAACAAATTGTATGAGTTGCCGTCATTATTTGTAACTTTATTATCTTATAAGAAACCGAACAATTTAAATTCGCCTTTTCCTGTAACTATTGTTAATATTATTAGTAATCAGAATAGAACTCAGACTTCTCTGTTATTAGGTATTTATATTTTTTCAAATACTGTTTTAAATCTCATTAATTTCTCTATAATTAATTTATTGTGCTGCTGGTTATACACACACACACAACTCTCTATTCTACATATGCAGCTGATTACATAGGTAACTTTCTTTCTTACTGAAAATTATGTAGGTAAACAGGATTTTACCTATTGCATTGCTAAAAATTGCATTGGCATTAAAATTAGATAAATATTAACATAAATTCTCTAACCATAGTAACTAGCTTAACATATAAGGAATTTTACTTGTCAACCTGTATAACTATTTTATGTCTTAATATGCAACTCATAATGTGTTTACTACTCATTTCCTCGAGAGAGTGGAAAGATTCATTTTCTTGATATAATAATCTTATCAACGCTGGAAAGCAAACAGCAAAACCAAATTGGATATTTAGAGTGGAAAATCTTTATATTTTTCAAAAAAAAAATATCTTATTTCCACATAAATTGACTAAGGACTACCTTATTTGTTACCATAGACGTTTATAGGAAAAATTTATCGAAAAAAATTAAAGTTTTTCTGCTTTAAAGAACAATTTTGGTTTTGCGGGTTATTACATGTTTGCTTTCCAGCATCAATATATGATCAAGTTCACAATGCTATATTGATATTAATCTATCAGCTGTTGCTATGTGGATCACCTGAATATTTATGAAATTATATAATAAAGAAGTAGTAACAAGTGCTTGAGAAATTAATCAGTCTGGTTGGGCCTCTGGTAGCTCATTTGGTTAGAGCAGAGATTGGCAACCTTATAATATGCAATACCCAAGAACTATGATTTTATTTAAATTAAACAAATATCTATCTCTCAGTCATAATTACTATATTTTAAACATATTATATTATTGCTACTCAACTATGGCATTATTACATAATATCAAGGGTTTTGATTGACAAAATATTTTTTTTTTTCATAAACGAAACTTAGGGCTACAACTTTATATCAAAAAGAGCCATGGGTTAACTCCAAATTAAACTTAAAACTCAACCACAAAACCATAAAAGTTGTTATTAAAATTCTAATAATTAAATAAAGGATTTATTGTAATAGTACATGAATAATACAATATCATAAAGGGGAGGCTTATGCTCAGCAGTGGGAGTCTTATGGCTGATATTGATGATGATTAAGGGTTTAATATTTAAATGTTAACATTGTTAAAAAAACATCTATGTTTATTAAGTTAAATAAACAACAGATTATTTATTCTTAATTATTTATTAAAACTTTATTGCACATAGTACAAATGGTGGACTTGATGCCTTTAAGCATTTTCTACCAGTCAACTGTTACGGAGAGTTACATATAGATTTTATATGAGGCAGTGCATAATGATCAACTGAAAATTGATAGATATTAAATCAGTTCAAAATATAATATTCTCCAAATATTTGTCTAATTACAATAAAATATCCCATTCATAAACATCTTAAATAACTAAACATGTATAAACATAAATAAATACATATGTAAATAAATATATATATATAGATATGTAAATACATATTTATAGGTAATGCAAATGTTTTTAATTATTTATGAAATGAAAATATCACTATTGTTTTTATTACAAAATTTTAGCAGCACTGAATAATTTTAAAATATGTCCATGTAGGGAACATGGACATATTGGACATTGAGCGTTTTTTTATATTATAATTGTACATCAAAAAATTAAAAAAATCAATGATTTTTTTTTTTACAATATACCTTTGATTTTCAGTTATAAACTGCAAATTATACAAACAACTTGGTATGATGACACTTCATCATCATTCTTACTGCATAATAACAGAACATATTGTAAATGACATTACTAAGTCAATCAGCACACATGACAAACTCGAGAAACACTAGATAAACAAATGTAATTTCTCTGCAGTCTAGATATATGGGCGTATATCTAGAAATGTGACATTTGGGCGTAGACAAAACATTCTCGTTTACATAGACAAAACATCACCTGATAAAAATTGTGGGCAGCACTGGACTGATTTTTCTTAAGATCCATTGGATTGGCACTGGACTGATTTTTATTAAGATCCATTCGGAGGTCAATAACTGAAATGATATTGATGTAGAATATTTAGCAGGATAAAACTTTTTAATTGGATTTTTCTCGTTTAAACAGTTGTTTTACAATGTGTATGTACAGATTCAATATGTATTTTATACTATACAACTAGCTTTCCCCCCCGCCCGCGTGCCCCTTTGAAAATGTTTATTGGGATAGAAAGTAGCCTAATGTCAATTTAGGCTTAAAATTATCCTTTTTTGTATGGGGATTCATATTAACTCGCATCAATTCAAATTTACTCTCAATGACTCAAGTTTTTATTTAAAATTTTCACTACCATCAAGATTGTAGATTGTAGTTCCATATTTCAGTGTCCGTTATGCTGTTTTGAGTTTCTTATAAAATTCGCAATTAATTTTTTCATAATTAGATAAAATAAAACTATTTTCAATACAATTTATAATAGTTATTTTAAACTATAATTATGCACTTGTGAACTTAAGCAAAATCCAAATTATTTATTCAGTCTAGGCTGTTACAAGCACTCGTGAAAGTCGAGAGCTACGCCATCGGTTCGTAAATCTACGGCGAGAGACCTTGTACCGAGAAGAACTGGCAAGAAACTCGGCAAGGGCTGCTTTTTTCTCCCTGTTTTATTTCATACAGAGCGTCAAGATTGAAAAATGACTTCATTAAAACATGAAGTCACTTTCCATTAGCTTTTCCAGCGGTAGCTTAAGGAAGATATTTAGATCATTATCTATGAAATCTAGGTCAATTATACGCAACGCCATTTTTCGGATGCATTTTTTTACGGAAACAGGCGAATTGTTAAACTTTTATTATAACTTTTTAATGCGCTCAAAAATATGACTTAAAAAACATATGAATAAAACTTTTATTTTTTGGTAATAGTGTACCCGTGACGCATTATGGTACGGATAAAGGCAATCTCCTTTTTCCGTTTATATGTATATTTCCGTTATATGCATTAAAGACTAACAAACATATATCCATACATAATCGCAAACTTTCGCATTTATAATATTAGGATTTAAATAATGGTTTACTACGCTCGTATTTGGTAGTGTTATCAACGAGGGCGTCATCCGGCTTGCGATCCTCACGGCCTCCGCACCAAGTTGACTCATAAAAACAACCGTTGGCCGCCGTCATACTTGATTCATCAATCATCTGAAATCCGCGCATCATAACTTGTTTAAGTTGCTCCCAAAGATTTTAACAACTAACAAGATCTCTGTATACAATATCACTAGAGACGAAATAGAAGGAAAAAAACGTCCACTTAAAATGAGACCAAGATAGACAAACAGTTTTGTTTTCGCCACAAACAAAACCATCGAGCGCGATACTGCGTTACATTGGAAACGAATAAGATTCGTTACAGAAAACCGAATTACGATTCTTCAGAACTTTTCTGCTGAAAAAAAAACGTAGCTATTTATGGAAAAAAAGTTATTGTGGCCTGAGATTGTTTTAACCAACTTTCATCTTAAAGTAAAAAAAAAATACGGAGAGTTTGATTGTCGCGTAGTTTATATTTTATAATTCGATTTGTGGTCCTAATTTGGTACCATTGTTACGATTTACACGCAATTATGTGGTAATATCATTATATTGACATGATCAGTACTAAACTAATAAATTAATGGCATAATTAGGTACTAATTATTCCTCCGATAACAGTGTTCGAATCATGGACAGTGTTCGAATAGAATTTTAGTTGATTCTTATTAATATTTTAGATCGAATTATTCGAATTACTGCCACATATAACATTTAGCTGAAAGGCTGTATACTAAGATGGCAGAATTAATGCACGTAGCTTTTTTATTCATAATATACCAAATAACATAATTATTGATATTAGCTACGCGTTACCTTACCTGACTTTAATTTCTAATTTGTCAAAGTGAATCTTGTTAATTAATCATATTTCGGAATTTTTATATCGAGTTATTGAGATTAGAAGAAATATAAATAATTAAAGTTCTCAAAATAAATTTTCTTTACAAACTCAAGTTCATCTATAAAGCAAGTGCTACTTATACATAACCTATCTATAACTAAATAATATTATATTATATTAATATTTAATAGGGCAATAATGTCGTTAAGCAAGCACTATCTACTTTATGCTCTACGATCGATTGACCGAAATGAGGCTTTCGAAGGCAGCGATCCACGTCATTCTTGACGTCATATGCACTTGCAACAGCTGATTCACCGTTTGCGTCGTGTCTATTTTTAGAAATGTGTCTCGTGTTGTCTGAGAGTGAATGAAGTTCCACTTAAACGGGACCGGCAACTCTTTAGGGAACATTTAAAAAGAAGTTTCCTTACTTACCGTAATTTGTATACTTACTTGTATCTGTCAGTCAGATACTTAACAGTTCGTTACGTGAAGCCATTTGGTTGA